GAGAGAGAGAGAGACGTCGGGGGTTGTGGGGGGTGGGGTTGATGTGTTACATGGCTTGCACAGAGATAGAGCAATAAATATTTCAAACAGTGTCAGAATCAGTCAAGGGGTTGAGCTTGAGGCAGTGGCAGTCTAATACTCACCGCAGCCAGAACTCTATCTTTCTGGAGTAAATTTTGAATACTTCCAACTTCCTTAAGTTTGTTTCCTGAGTCGAATGACTCTTGACGCCCTAAGATACTGGTAGCCAGCGCGGACCTTCCACAATTAACAGTTTCCCGGATCAAATTGGATATGACATGAAAACGAGCTCCATCATCCTTTGGTCCATACTGTGCTCTCAAAACAAGGAGGCACCTGCGAACAATTGCAACTGACTATCAAGATTACAGCAGAGCATCATGGAAGTATCATTGTTATGCTAAAACCTTCAAGGAAAATATAGAATTTAACAGGGAGTGAATGCTATAATCCAATGTACTATAGTCCATTTGGCTGTCAGCTTCCATCAAAGTGATGGATGGAGATGGTTTCACGAGTGGGGTGCCATTGCGATCTAATCTTGCTCAAGGAATTTCTCCTCACTTTCCATCACCATCCATTAGTTCAATGGATGGCTATGACCCAATGACTAGTTTCCCAGTCTATTGGTTTGTAATTTACTCTCCAATGTCAATAGTGAACTTCATAGTGCAAGTGTTGAAATGAAAATACACCAGATAAAATATTGTAGTCTGCCTCGGCCTTGCTCATTATCTGTGGAAAGGAGTGAAGGGAGGAGACAAATGAACTGCTGAACACATCTAGAAGCTCTTTCAAGATCAGCATTGCAAAGATATAAAATTACAAGACGGAAAACAATTCTTGGGCATCTTTCTCCACGTAAAAGCATAGCTTTATCAATATATTTGTTTGATTTGCCACCCAGTGCATTGCTGATCCCTCCTGATACAACTACAGCAGCCATTTCAGCAGCAGGAATATTCAGTGATTCTACCAATCCACGTGCTCTTTGTCCTAAAGACGGCGCTCCCACAGTTGAGTTTTTGACATGCATCTTGCTCGGTCCCTTTCCATTCATCTCGGTTATAACAATCCAGAGCTTGTCATACATATTCCACCACTGATTCCCCATAACATCATCCTTCATAGACTCAGGTTGATGACATCCTCTTGGGGGGTTTCCAGACAAGGACATGCTCCCAAATCTGCATACAATTGTACAATATAAAATAAATGATTTGAAGATTTATGGTGAATTTCAAAAAAAATAAAATAAAAACAATGGATTATCAGGAAGAGATAGGTGAGAGAACAGAACAGAAATGGCATAACCACATTTGAGAAGTGCATCCAATGTAAATCACTAACAGAAATCCATATATTTTCAAGCTGAATTCAGTGAGATTATATCACCAAAGGATAATCAATATTTCAAAGATAATCAAGCACTACAAGTTGTGCAATCGGCTAGTGAGTGCTATGTGAAGAATGAATTCTGCTCCATTTTTGGTAAGACAGAACAAAATATGTAACACAACTGAAATATAAAAATCAGGATGAAGGAAGTAGGTCCATTCCAGCATCCACAGATTAGAGATGAGCTACAATATTTGCATAAACAAACAGCAACATTTGCGTAAATTGTTGACAATTTCGGAGGACTGAGAGCAATGTTATTGATTTGTCGCTTTAAATTGTTAATTATAAATATTATTAAAGAGAAAGTAAGCCCAATGGTATTGTCACCACTATTGGCCTACTGGTTGCATAAATGCTTCTTCAGTAATCTAAATTCATGGTAAACACATGAAATAATGCAAAGGAAGTGAATGTCAAGTTCAGTATTCATCGAACTATAACTTAAAGTATACAAATCAAATAAAGCCTCGGTGTCACATTGTTTCAGAATACTAATTTCGCAAACATAAAAAAATAACGAGGAATTTCACTAGATATCAGTATTCATTTATTTGAACAAAATGTACATCAGATTCCGGAGTAGTGTACCTAAAATAACAGTAGCCTATAGTTATGAATCAAGCAGGAACACAGGTTATTAGGTACAATTAACAGGTTATTAGGTACAATTTGAAGTTGTTGCTGAAGATCAACTCATTATGACTTCATACTTAAGAGTATTCATATATCAAAGTAGGACTCTAATAATATTAATCCCCAAAAAATAGCAAGTCCACAAGTTCATATGACGCCTTTGTCCATAAGTGAAGGGATACCACTATTAATTCCAATTATCTAAAGGACCACGTGTAACCTAGCATTCGACCTGTCATTTCAAAACACCAGCAACCATAGTATCCAACTTATTACTTATCAAAAAATTCATGAAGACCAGTCCATAACACCATATTACAACCTCAACTAATTTTCTCATGGACATATAGTTTAAGGGTAATTAACGGTATACCACGTAAACCTTGAATGTTAACCAAGGGTAGCTGCACGAAAATGGTGTTATTGTTTGCTTAAAAACACGCATAATGCAACTTAGCAGCATCAATAATGCAACACTTTTATGTATACCTAGAAAGTGTATCATCAAATGTAGCTTGCAAGGCCCCGAGAGCAGCAGGGCTAACATCTTTGTGACTTCCCAGTTCAGATCCATCAGGAGTGTATTCAACAGAGAAACCACACTCAGGAAGCTGGAAACAATAGAGTTCACAATGAATAAGATAACATTGTAACAGTATTAAGTTGACTAGGTGATGGGAAATATAGTTGCTTTTACAGACTATTGCTTGAAATGCAAGTTACATTACTAATCAAGTTAAACAAATGGGGAATCTTTACAATGTCTCAGACTAGTACCAGTAAATTATGATCACACTCTCTTACGAGCATCTCATCAAGTAACTTCAGAAGGTAAAGTGTGTTGTCACGACATGGTTGGGAGACAATATCTTCAGAGGGCCATTCTACCAAATTCTCTACAACTTCCTCAAAGATATCTCTTAGCAGGTTTTGGGATGAAAAGTTGCCCTGCAGATATGACAGAAATATAAATGTAAAAAGAAATATTAACTTCTGAAGGACACTACAGAAAAGCTACTCAATACGCCAACAGCGATGTAAAAGACCTCAGGATTTCACAATGTACCTGTTCGTATTGCAACACTAAGAAAGTCCATGTCTCCTCAAGTTGCTGCCACCCACCTTTTACTAAACACAAATTGTGGAAAAGGACAACAACGTATAATTTTCTTACTAGTATTTCCTCACTTATCTTTGAATTTGCAACTTGAACTTGTGTCTTGGTTTTGTAGTTACGGATCACTTCAAGGCTTGCAGATGTTAACAACCAGGAGCTCCACGCGTTCTCCTAAATAAAATATTGAGAAGACTAGATGAGAACCGCAAAATACCATATTTTTATAC